TGAAGCCTGTTACTTCTTCTTGACGGGAAGACAAGCAAAAACCAGCCCTTCGGGATTTCACTGGCGCCGCCCCAGCAGGGGTCGGCGGATAGTGGTACTAGTACTACTACTTTTGTTAAGCCTCCAGTGCCGCCTTCTTGCTCTTTCGACTGCCTTTCTTGCCTGTCGGTCCATTAGCTCGTCAGCCACGGATTTTAAGACATAGCTGTAGTGTGGTGATAGGGTCGTCGTAACGGTGCGGGCATCATCGTCACATTGGGACTACGATTGCTCTTGTTGGCGTTCATGTCATGCTTCAGGTGTAATGTGATGGATTGCAGATTATTGACAATGATATGTCTGGCATATGTCTTTATTCCCCCTTCCTGGTGTTCCCTTTGAGCGCTGTTGCTGCCCTGTCTCCCCTCGTACGTGCCGAGTCCGACTGTATCGAATAGACTTTGATTGAATACGATACCGTTGAAATCTCTTTACATGATGGAGTACGACTGTATCGCGCAATGTATATTGGAGAATCTGGTCCCTTTGCGGTTCTGGTGGCCCATGCTCACGTTGTTGCTGACCCTTCCGTTCCCTTGTGAAGGCAGGTGAACATCGAGAATAGGGATGGGATTTTGTGATCAGGGTCCAAGGTTTCCGGAGCAGGTAAAAAGGGGGAGTCTGATTTGAACCTGTTGGTTTGCTCGTCACGTTTACATATCCAGCCATGTCTAGAACAGCCACCACTCTTGAGAAGTCATCCTCATCCTGAGGCAGACCTCTTGACCCACCGATTGCTTGTCAAAGCCTTTGTGCCGACAGCTGTTGTCACGGTCAAAATCCAGAGAGGAACCCATGCAATCATTCAGACTCACCCAGCGCATCAGTCACAAGGCCTCGATTGGGAAGCTTACATGCACGCAGACAGCGTCGTGAGTCAGCAGCCCTGGCAGCTGTTTGCTTCGTCCTCGCAGATGCGAAGAGACTGGGGCACAGTTGGAGGTTTCTTGAAATTCAGGATACCTCCTCTTCGAAGTCCCCATATTCTGAAACTCTTTCTTGGCCGTGGAAGGGCGGACGGTGTAGGCTGGCCGAGCGTTGAGGACTTTTCGGGTGCAAGGCACATCTTCCACCATCTCATCGCATCTTTGTAGGTTTGGTGCTTTTTGTTGAACTTTATGCCTGTTTGTCTATAAGCAACGATTACGTTTGCCGAACATACTATATAACCTGGGTATTGAGTCCTCAAAGCATCTTGCATCCCTTGAAGGCTTGATCTTTGCATGCAAGGAGTCGCAACTCCTTGGTCTCTGTGCAGCTCTTCGGGGAGTCTGGCTGCCCAGGCACCACGGCCTTCATTGCCGGGCCGCTTGCGGATGCCGAGAAGGCCGGGACCTCCAGCGCAGCTGCAGCTGAAAAGACCAGTGGCGTGCGCATGTTATGTGTACAAAGCGAGCGACAAAGCGCATGCATCCTGACCATGTGAGCATCCATCCGTCTTCTCAGGCCATTAAGGTTTGTTCTGATATCTTGTGTTGTTGATTTGTCCCCTGTTACTGGTTTCTCGTGCAGCCGCACAATGCATTGTTCGGTCTCAAGATCTTGTTCGACCGTCATTCGGTGAGATAAAAAGCGTCACAGCTACGCAGCTTTGACGGCACTGCTAGGCTCCTGGCGTCGCAGACATCATGCGCAACATGACTGCAAGACGCTATATGCGAGGTTCTTGGTATAAGGAGCACTTGATCTTGAGCCCTGATCAGGTAAATTAGGGTTTATGGTGTATATTCGTCTTCTTTACCTTTTTACCTTTCAAAGACCGACATGCAGGCTGACAGAAGGATTGCCACCAGATCTCCCAGAGAACTGCCCAGACGAACTTTTTCACAGCCCTTTGCGAGGATCACACTGAGTCGCTACTCTAAGCTGCTATTCCGACTAGGAGGGAAACGGCCCTCAACATCGCAAAAGATGGCAGGATGAACCCTAAACCAAGCCAATCAGATCGCTGAAGGATTAGATTGGACACCCTTCGGCAACGCCTACTTTCTCACGGCCGAGTGCGGGGGAGTGCCGGCACCTGCAGGACCGCCGGGATCATTGGTTCGGACATGTTGTAGGGTGCAGCGCATGAGGGAGGAGCGGGTGAAGTCGATCAGACTCTCATGGAATCGGCTAGCTGCCACGGCCTTCGGGGGCAAACAGCGGCAACAAACGACATGGAGGTGGTGACTGTGACGAAGAGTCGAAGAGTCGGAGGAGAAGCATGAGGATGAGCCTGGTGGGGTGGTGATGATGGTGATAGTGCTGGACATGCTGGTGATGCTGGTGGCGGTGGTTTTGTTGGCGGTGGTGGTGGTGGTGATAGCGGCAGCGGCAGTGTTTTGGTGACAGTCTCGACTTTCGAAGTGAGATGGTTGCGGTGTCGATGTTGATGTTGCTGAGCTTGAACATGGTGACGGACATGACGATGACAACAAGAATGGGGACGATCGTGATGCAGGTAATGTTGGCCTGCACATCGGAGCAGAGCGTGCAGAACGCGTTGAGCATAAGGCTGCTTGTGTGGTGACTGATAGATGTTTCAGCATGTGATTGACCTTATATAGTTTTGCACGAGCATCTACATCGCCTTGTTGCAGGTGGGCGAAAGTGATACTAGTACGGGGCTGCGCTCTAAAATGTGGCAACTGCCGGGATCAAATCATACAGCAGCAGAAACAAGCAGCAGAAGACCGGAATTAATCACGAACGCTACTGCCGTCAGTTGCCCCAATATTGTCCCAACGCGCCAGTCCAGTGCTTGAGCGATTCAGAGTATGCCCCCTCAGCCTTGTGTGGGCAGGATGTGGCACCTCTACTTCTTGCTTGTACAATGCCACGGTCAGGGAGTGCTTCCTGGCCCATTGCGGTCTTGGAGGTGCTTTTGCTCATGTACTCGTATTGCTACTGTGGGTATTCTCAGTTGCTGCTGCTGCTGCCGCTGCTGCTACGACGACGGCAACTGCTACGAGCTTGTCTTCTATTACGGTTACTGCTACTGTTGCTAGTTCCTGCTTCTGCCGATGCTGCTGTTCTGCCAGATAACATGTAAACTGAAGATCTGCATCGATGCATTGAGCAGGTGGTACATACCATGGTTTCTTCGTGTTGGCTGCAGCCGGCTTCCTTTTGACTTTTGACTTTCGGCTTTTCTCGACTTGCTTGTGTGTGGGGAACTGGCCATACCTCGTCATTGACTACTAGGAGACATGGTGCCTTTGTATCAAGGGGCTCCCAAAGCCCCGAGTCTCGAGCAACAGGACACCTCCATAGAGGATGTACTAGTAACTAGCAACTATAGTATCTATAGTACACGTAAGACAATCGACATAGTCAGCGATGGGTCCGGGGATAGGACTCCGACTGCCACAACACCTTCTAGTCATCCCAGTCCCAAGTCGACAGGCCGCGCTGGCAGATCGAAACTTTCCGTTCCTAGAATCAAAGTCGAGCAACAGACCCGATGGTTAAGCCACGGACAGCCCGCAGCAAATCGAAACGCTTGTGCAGCGCGCAGTGAAACATCAGCGGTTGGCAAAAGAGAGCGAGGTTCTTCACAAACTTACCTGGCCAGTGTTGGGCGGAGCTTCAGTCGTAGGGTGGCCCACTTCGCTACACTCTGAAGCCTGTCTCGCCTTAACAGTCTCTCCACAGCTAAGCTATCGCCGTCAAGAAAGAAGAAGCACGGTCATACCCCCATCCCCTCCACCCTGCCTTAGAAGTGCAGGGCGTCCCTTTGCGGACTGCTACTCACCGGGTCATGTGCGTTGTCAGCATGGCAGCGTCGAGTGCGTGGCCAACCAGCTGGAGGCTTTACAGGGTTTGGACGGGTATGTACATGGTTTAGATTTGACGGCTTCCGGCTTTTATTGGACTTTTGGTCCAGGACTATTGCAGGATATTGCAGGGTTTCATGTAACCTCAGAACGTCCTATTACTTATCCGACTTATCCGGAGGATAACTTAGCCATGAAGCGCTCGAGCAAGCCCTCATACAAAAGTTGCGGGTGGTGTTGAAGCTATCTTAAAGGTGGCCTTCATGAGTTTGATGCACAGGGTATGCGGGGCTGTCGCAGATCATTTTGGCTTTTTCGCAGTTGACGCAGGGGTGTTTTTTGCAACAGTCGCAGTTTCATCTTAGCTTGCCAACTGCAACGAACCAAGGAACACTCCGACAACTAAAGTGCCAATACCGAAGCCCAAGAACGACTAGACCACAGACACAAGGTGCTCCATGAAACCCAGGCCTCTAGTATGTGGGGCTCTTAAATTATATAATTTCTTATGCTGCAAAAACCGTATACCCCAACACCCTATTCTAGCTGTTGAGGCCCCTTTGTTGAGTAGCTTCCATCCCCAGCTGCAAGAGGCCTGTGCCAAGATGAAGGATGCGAAAAGCTCCCTGGCAGAAGTCCCGTTAGCCACGAGCTCCTGAGAAAAAATACAGAGCCCAAAACCCCGGAACCGTAAGTTTTGTGAAAGCGCGGTGGCGCATTCGGGAGGCCGCTCCAGCTGATGCAATAATTTATAATAATTACTCCCGAAGAGCGGCCTCATAAATGGAAGGCAGTCATGGGGTCTTGCTCAGTCACTTTGTGTAAGTTTATCATGTGCTTCCGGTCCATGACTCTCCTTAAACCTGCCCTGGTTCGTCACCACGGGGCATGAGTCTGAAGAGTCCCTGAGATTGTCAGAGATGGCGAAGATGCCGAATCCACCAGGGCCGGCACACAGCACTTGAGTAGAGCTTTTCATTTCTCTTCGCAGCAATCGAAATGGGCGTAAGCTGCGAGGGAGTTGATTTGCATGGCCAGACGTCGCTGCTCTGGGCTGAACGGGGCAATGTTGTGTGTTGGTGAATTGAATTCATTGTGAGCCTGGTCTTCGAGGTGAACTACAGAGATATGGACGTGCAGCCTCGGTGGACGTGTGGTCAGGTAAACTGACACGGCAGTCGACGTTTAACGCCCTGAAACACCAAACTCCTTGGACAAAACGGAAGTTTGCTCTGCCAACCCCGAAGTTCGTATGTCCTGCCACCGCAACACGGAGCCGCTTCACCAAATGAAGTGTGGTGCTAATCACAGCTGCCAACATCATAAAGCCAAGTGGCTGGACATGGGCAGAAGCCTCGTGTGCAAAAGTGTGCGGAACAACGGGCTGCTTAGTCCTGTGGCCGGGGGGCCCCCGGGAAGGGACAATGGCATGACAATGGTGGCAAGCAGTGCTCGTACCAACAACACGAACAGCGGCCACAGTGACGTTTACAGCTTACAGTTTTCAAGAGCGATAACAACCACGGTCGTTACTGAGGTTCATGCTTTGACTTTAACTTTCGCCGAGCCGAGGTTACTGGCCCATCTCAAGGTGCATAGAGACTGCCTTCTTCACTGGAAAGCTGCGCACGGGCAAATCGAGCCCCCAGGAGGTCCATGACGTGACTTGGTTGGAAGGTGCAGGGCTTGGGTTTGTCAGGGGTAAGGGTTTTTCTTCAAGGTTGTGGTTCGGTGTAAGCCTCAACCTTGGGATTCAGAGTCTGAAGAGAGGGTAGTGAAATCGATCTAGATAGTCCCTTCAGCCCCGCTGTGCAGAGGGCAGCAGGCAGAAAACAGGAAAACAGCGATGAGTACGACGATGGTGCTGATGATGACGATGATGATTTTCATGATGGTGATGGTGATGGTGGTCATTGACTGACGAAGGTATTGATGATGACCATGACCGACGACGGCAGTCTTCACACTGATGCTGATGGAGATGACAACGACGACGAGGGTCAACTGATCATACTGAATCATACTGGTTATTGCCATCATCATGATCGCCGCGGCCACTATCTCTCAGTACTTGTCGACATCGCCGCCATCTTCGTTGGCGTCCTCTGAACGAGCTACGATGGCCTTCGCTACTTCGAGCCCCATAACACAGCATTCTGTCATCATGCTCCCCCACCACCGCCACCGCCACCTCCACCACCACCACCACCACCACCACCACCAATTAACAGCACCACCATGCTAGTTATCGCCATGACCACCAGCCATGATGAGCACAAAATGACGACAGTGGTGTTGTTTGATGATGATGACGATGACAAGCTGTATGACCCGCGGAAGTCCTGCAATGTCGTACTCTAGGCATTGTCACTCACTGTATGCCATCATGATTTTGTGACCACTTGTCCTTTCGTGTCGTCGTTGCTTTTGCTACTTACTGCTTTCTTGGCGCACCCTATAAACCCTCCACCCTAAAACCTATAAGACCCCAAATCCCCAAAACCCTATGTAGGAAATCCTCAACCCCGGAACTCCTGCACCCCAAGAGTCTTTGAAGGTCGCTGCGAGCTGCGGCCTAGCGGCTGAGACCTTCGACTTTTGTGCCTCACAGGGCCACGAGGCCGTCGTTGCAATGGCAAAGTCCACACCTCCTCATCCAGGCCGGGGCAGCTGATATAGGGGTCTCAAAAATTAGAATGGTGAGGTGATTTCGGCCAGATGTCTGAGGCGAGTACTGCTGATGATGGCTTGTGCATCCGTCAAATGACTAGCTGAACTTGGAGCTACTCAGCTAACTGAGTTTAGCAATGATTTCATCAATGCTATAGATCATGGAGTCATACTGCACCGACCACATATCCAACAACTGTACATCGAAGTCGCGCGAGCATGGACATCTACGTGTTAAGGTGCGCGGTTCAGTCGAGAAGTGGGGTTTGGGGGTGTATTGTAACATAGCTGTACAGAGGAACCAAAAATAGTATTGGTAATTATATAGGCGCCCTAATTACACTACTTAGCACCTCGGATGAGGTATGTCCTTTTTTGTTGATACTGTCGGTGGTGTTGTCTTTGTGTGTGGTTGAGTGTTCGTGTCTCTCTCGCTCTCTCTCTCTCTCTCTGTGTCTCTGTGTGTGTGCGTGTATGTGTGTTTGCGTTTGTGTCGGGGTGGTGGTTCAGGTACAGACGGTGTTGTGTCTGTTACAGGTCGTTATGCATTGCTTTTGTTGTGTTGCTGTTGCTTGTGCTGCGATCAACACTCTTAGTCATATGCATTGTAGTTTGCACCTAGGTTGTTTGGCACTGTGAATATCTATCAGTCATAATGTCTCTTAAGGTTCCCCATTTTGGTTTTTAAAAAGTTTAAGGCCCCCGTAGCACCCGTATCCTAGCATTCATGCCATATTATGTGGTTGTGTGTTTGTTGGATCTCTGAGTCTGTCCCTACACATCTCTGTATTTCCATCTCGACCTGTTCCTCCGTTCGTACAGCTGTGCCCTTCTCTTTCTGCTGTTGTTTTTTCTGCTCTCTCGCTCTCTCTGTTTCTCTCTGTTTCTCTCT